AGCGCAAATCTCTTCCCCCTCCCAGATCCGAGAGCCATGGGGAAGGAGCAGCCTGCAGTTTCAAGTGGGGCTGCAGCAGGCAGGGAGCCCAGCCTGGCTTGGGGTGCTGCAGGGCTGCAGGCTTAGGTGAGCGCCTCCCAGCCACAGCCTGCCTCTGGCATCCTGCCCCTCCTGCACCTCAGCTCCCTCCCCCAGGTCACCATCTAAGCCCTCTGGAACCCCCTGCCCCCGGTCACAACTTCCTCCCAGACCCTGTACCCCTTCCTACATCCCTCCCCCAGGCCAGAATCCTGTACTGCAGCCCAGTCCCCTGCCCCAAGTCACCACCCACACCACTGCCTTTTCCCCTTCTCCCACTTCACAGCTCCCTCCCAGACTTTGCACCCCCTCCTGGTGCCCCTCCCCCAGGCCAGAATACTGTCCTGCACCCAAACCCCCTCCCTGACCCTACCTGCCTATCCCCTGGCCCAGGTCACAACCCCGTCCTTTGCCCAAACTTCCTCTCAGACCTCATACCATCTCCCGCATCCCAGTCCCTTAACCGTGCGCTCTTCTGTGCCCAACCTCCATCCTAGACCCTGCACATCCTCCACAGAAAAGTGCAGCCCATGACCACTTTCCAAAACCGTGGAGAGGCCCCCCGCCAGAAATTCTTGCCCACCCCTGTTCCAGCACGTTTGTTGTAGTGAGAGAGAGCATAGCTACAGAATTATTCTCTGGAATGTAATTTTGGGAGATATCCAAACAGTGATGTTGTTGGATTTGCAGTGGAGCTAGGACCTTATTTATATCTGCGCTGTCCGTGTTCCTCCTTACTCACCTCTGCTGGCTCCTTCTTCTGGGCCAGTCTTGACTGTTCATCTCTGCGAGCTTGTATGAGTCTGGAGATCTCTTGCTTGCATCTCTCTTGAGTTGTACCCAGAGTGCGCATGTTTCGTGGGCAAAACGGTGCAGGCTTTGTTTTTGCTGACGTACAGCGTGGGAGGGACTAATTCTTGCTGATTTTGATTGTTTGCAGCTTTGAGCAGTTTTGTATTAATTATTGCAATGAAAAACTGCAGCAGCTCTTCATAGAACTCACCCTAAAATCAGAGCAAGAGGAGTATGAGTCGGAAGGCATCGCGGTAAGAGCCAAGACCTCGTTTTGTAACATTTCCTCTTATTGGGGGAGGCCAACTAATGAAAGGGGGGTGGTGATAATTTACAGTGTGTAAAGTAAGAATTTGGAGGTGAATGGTTATTTTTACCTTGTCTCAGCATCTGTGCGATCCACCAGAACTGGCTCATCCTAAAGGGACTTCGGGCTGGGCTCGGTTTTTACATGTGCACTCATCTGCTCGCAGAAGTGACAATTACTCAAGCAAACCCCATTCAGATTAGAAGTGGACCTGTTCCCGCTCTAGTGACGACGATCTTGTTGTGCAGCCCCTTGTCTATACAAAACATAACACCCATGGGACCATGGTCACCCAAAGCAAGTTGTCCTCTCGCCTGCAGGCCCTGAAGCTGTATGTTTGGCACTTGGACTCCTGCCTTCCTTGGCACCTGCAGTTTGGTGACAGCTCTGGCATTTGTAACCTGGAGCTATCGAATGTCACAACGTCCTGTCAGTAATGCTGCATGGCACTGTACGCTTGGGCTTTTGCTGCCAGACAATGTAGATCCTACCTTTTATTTTGTTAATTGTTCAGTTTATTTCTTGCCGAAGTCCAGCTTTAGAAAACCCCAAACTCCTGCCTGGCAGCCTCCGAGCAAGATCTGTAGGAGGGCAGAACGAAGATGTTTATCTCGTGTGTGCTGCTCTCAGGCCCTCCGGCGGGGAGGTGGGGGTGGATAAAGGGAACAGTTGCCCGGAGGCCTGCGCCCCCTGCCAGTTCAAACAGCCCAGGGTTCCCGGCTGCCACCACTGCTGGCCCCTTTGAATCCCTGCTGAGCACCACGCTGTATGCCCCAAGCAGGACTAAGGACCAGGCAGGGCGCTTGCATATAGTGTACTCCAGGTGGCACTGAGCACTGTCTGGGAGCCAGCGAGGTGCACCCTGGACTAACTGCTCCGGCCCCGCCCCACACACACACCTTGCCCAGGAGCCCACAGAGACTATCGGCCCCTCTGCATGCAGCATGTAAGTAAGAAAGAGCAGAAGCTTCTTTGAGGGTTCTCGGCTTGCTTGCTGTCTGGGCCCTCTGTGCTGGTACATGCTCCGGGCTGCAGGCCATTCAGGTGCTGTACAAGGACCCAGTTAGGAGAATGAGGATGCTGTACGACAGCCCTCTAGCAATGTCTCAGCTCCTCCCTTTGCTGTGTGTGGCCCCCACCAATGACAGCTGCTTTGGGGCCGGCCTGGCTCCCAGTTCTGGCGCGGTTCTTTCTCTTGAATTTGGTGGCAGCAGCCATAGGGCTCGGTTGCTGTCAGGCTGCGAGGCCGCTGGTCACAGATCTGACTGAGATCAGAAACTGCTGACACGACTCCGGGATGACCTGGAACACGGAGAAATATTTCATCGGTGGCAGGGGGAGTTGGTGGTTTCAGGAATCATCCCTCTGTGCGTGTGTGGCGTGTGCACAGCGGCACAAGAACCCAGCTCCACACTAGGTTATGCCATAAAAAAGTTGCATAGCCCTAGCTGCAACTGCCTGCTCTATTTGAGTCCCACTTCCCCCTCCACCCGTATTTCAGAATGGAGTCCTCGGTGGCAGAGGTTCCCTCCTTTTCATCACGATGGGCCAAAGATGTTCGCCCGATCTCTGGCCAAAACGAAAAAACACAAATAAACAGAAAAATAAAAATAAATGCACCTTTATGAAAGAAATGCAGTTTTGTCCGTGAGCTGTGGGCCTCAAGACTGTTTTAAATGTTTTCTGTCCTCTGAAATACACTGATCACTCCAACTGTTTCCTTCCAGTGCAGAAGCAAGATCTTTGATCAGACTTTAACTGTGTGTGTCTCTTTCTGAATGGCAGTGGGAACCTGTCCAGTATTTCAATAACAAAATCATTTGTGATCTGGTGGAAGAGAAGTTCAAAGGCATCATTTCTATTTTGGTGAGTTGGCAGCCTTGTATTTAGTGACATGTTTTTAAGGGAAGATCTGTAGGAGCGTGGCGGGAAGAGAATTGCCCCAGGTGAACAGGAAGTTGAGGCTGGTGTACAGGGTGTGGAGGGGGCTAAGAAGTGAGTGGAGCCCAGGGCTAGATATGAACCTGTGCAGTAGATCCAGAGGCTTTCTCTCTTTCATGCTTGTTTTTGCATTTGCTGGCATCTTAGCCACACAACACTGTTCTACAGAGTGTTCTACTGGGTAAGCCCTATTGAGACGTGTGTATCTCCGGTGCCATGGGGTGCTTGTGTACAAATATATTTCCTGTTCACCACGTCTGAGAGTATAGACTGGAGCAAGAACCTGTGCAGTAGATCCAGAGGCTTTCTCTCTTTCATGCTTGTTTTTGCATTTGCTGGCATCTTAGCCACACAACACTGTTCTACAGAGTGTTCTACTGGGTAAGCCCTATTGAGACGTGTGTATCTCCGGTGCCATGGGGTGCTTGTGTACAAATATATTTCCTGTTCACCACGTCTGAGAGTATAGACTGGAGCAAGAA